AAAAAACACGAAAGAGAACAAGCACAGAGCAGAGAGAGAGAGATGGATGTCTGAGAGGAGGATGAAAAATGTGAGCGGCATAAAATCAACTGGGAAAAAATGTGAGAGTCGAGTTTACAAAAATGGAGAAAAAAAAGAGGGAAAAACGTGCCGGAAATCTAAAGTGAACGAACAGATGAAGAGTAAGAATCATGTCTCAGGTTTCCCTTCATTATCAGACGTTTAGAAACCAAATTTAAGTGAGTTCTGGTCTGGTTTGTGTTTCTTTTTTGGGGGGGGATTTGGGCCAATAAGAGCTGTCCAAGGTGCTGAAACACGATCTGGCTCCGGCTCAATTATGATCCTATTCCGAGCAAAAAACGCTGTGAATTAGGAGGGGAAAATGACGGGGATTTAACTAAAGAGCTCACAGCTTCCATCCATTTGCCAACAATCGCACAACAATCGCACAACGACAACAACACCTCCGGTGATGATGAGCAGCCTGTGACTTCCAAACCAGCGGCGTTCCCGCCACCTCGTCCCGTTTGTGAGATAAAAAAAAACACGGATTCCGAGCCGAAGAAGCCATAAAGTCTCAATAAGCTCCTCATTTGAACAGGTTTACAGTGATTAAACAGCATAGATCCAATTAAAAGAAGTCCATTTGAGTCAGAGATGCATTTTTGGTTTATAATCCAGCTCCTGAAATGGGGATTTCTCTCTCTTTATTAGCCCACTTTTCTTTTGCAGATTAAAAAACAAAAAGTAAAGAGTTATTGTTTCAATCTGAGAGGAAAGGTGACCCAACAGGGATTTCCGTTTGTTTTGGATGTTGTTGATCATTCCACTTTTTTCATTTTCCACTGGATTGTGTCCAACAAATGGCTTTTTCACCCCGTTGAAGCATTTTTAATATAAAATCAGAGACATTAAGGCTTCAGCCCGATGAGCTCAATAGGCCAAATGTTGCTGTTTTTTACAATTAGTGTCCAAAAAATGGCTCATTTTCTATGTCTACCTGACTTGTTTTGTTTTGAAATGAGGTCCTACTGTATGTATGTGTCACCCCTTCTCCTTTGGGGTTAGATAAAAAAGGAGGATGGGTGATTGGTGGAATAATTTTTATTCTGAGGGGCTGAAGGTGCTGTGTTTAGAGGGGAAAACATCCAGGATTGTGGATTATAAATATGGTTATTCAGGGATCGCCGTCCCACTTTCCAGCCATTAATGAAACCCCCCAGTTTGGATTTTGTTTCATTTTGGACACATACATAATTGACATTTTTAGCTAGTTAACAGCTAATTCCACCAGCTTTTTATGCTATTTATGCACGTCGTGTTGGGGCTCTCCATAGAAGGTTTTTCTTTATTAATCTATCTGTAACTCTACAACAGGGGTAATCAATACGTTGATCGCGATCTACCAGTTGATCTTCAAGGTGCTATCGGTAGATCGCATAACAAGTTGAGGTGTCATTGTCATGAACTGACGCTATACAAATAAAGTTGAGTTGTTTTGAATAAAAACTAGACGTCAACCTATCAGCAATCTGTCACTTGATTGATACACAGGATAACCAGTCAGATGACATCTGATTTTTTTCCGTACAATTAGGTCACTGTGCGCAGCTAAGCTAACAAGCTAGTCGTTAGTTACATCCTAATTTTTCGCTCGTTTTTTTCCTCTTAAACATAGGATAGGTTATGAAAATGAGTGGGGGAGCTGGACCAAGTAAGAAGAAAAAAACGTATCACTTTAATACGGAATGGGTTGTAAGAATCCTCAATATATTTTTCAATAAATATAACGGGTAGATCATTTTGACTTGGTCATTTCAAAAGTAGCTCCCATGCTGAAAAAGTGTGAGCACCCCTGCTCTACAATGATTTAACCCAAAAAGTTGGATCTAATGTCAAATGACTGGTGAAAAAAAATGGAAATTCAGGTTTGCATACCGTCCAAAAACCAGCAGGTTTCAGCCTTTTTGAACTGGAAATAAAATCTGCAGACTGATGTTCGGTAGTTAATAAAGATCTGGTGTCTGTACAGCCTGTGGCTTAATACGACCATCCTTCATGCACCGGATGAGAGCGGCCATGGATCATTTTCATGAATTCTGAACGGTTTAATAAATTCTGTGATTAGAATTATCGATGGGACTATTTCTCAGGGCTGCGAACATGTAAACAGTCTTCATACAGCCGTGTTCTCATAGATTTCAGCATGATGAAGAACCGGGGTTTTCTTGCTTAGAAATATATCTATTTTTCATTTAAAAAAAACTTTAAACATATCTGTGAAATAACCCTATGGAAAGTAATTACTTTAAAACCTTCGGCAGGTTCTTTGAAGAGGATTTCGGGATTTGAACTCGTCTCCTTCCCCTACACGAGATTAATCGTGGTGAAGATTCTTGATCCACTCACCTCATTTGCATATTAGTCTCTATAATTTAAAACAGGAGTAACTCTCCGTTTATTCCGAGTTATCCCGCTTTATCTCCGGAGCAAAGACAAAAAGCTGTTCCCACCTCTCCGGCACATCATCAGATCTATTTTCATCTAAACGCGACCTTGGTGTTTCAAAGGCGTATTAGGTTTTGTGTTGGACCCCC